TTATATGATTACTTTGGCTAGGATTTCACGAGGAAAACTGGAAACAACCAATTTTTCCACCAAAAATTTCCAAAAAAATTTTTTAAATTATACGCTTCACGTACTAATCCTCTGTTCTCTATATTCTTGCTAAATTTCAATAAGAAGCAGAAAACGAAACAGTGATGAATTCTTATACCCATCACTAAAGGATAAGGCAACGGCCAGAAGGAAGCATCAAAGACCCCCTAAAGTGTATATATTCTTGTTCAGTATCAAATTTTAAATCGGGCTAGGCATTTCCGTCCGTTCCTCCATTCGTCTATGCAATGGGTATTGTAAAGGTCCTCCTAGTAGCAAAAATGAAAATATCGTCATCAAATTTGCAGAAATATTAGAAGTTCTTGCTCGTGAAATCACACTCATAGTGCCACCTACACTACTCCTCTGTTTTCAAAAGGAATAAAAAATTGTCTTTTTGCTCATTACTCATAAACTGTAGTAGATAAATGTATAAAAATTTGAACGTATAGTCTATGGGCGATGCTGAGCGAAAAATTGCTCTACGCCTATCCAATATTATGGTGTACGTAAAATTTAATTTTTTCAATACCGTTATAAGGTGCAGAAAATGTAGTACATAAAGTACATAAATTTTTGCTCCGTTTCAAATTTGGAGTGCATATAAAGATGTCCATCTCTCTGTCTGCGCAACTGTGTACATTCCCCGTTGGCGAAAATGAATATATGGTCTAGAAATTTCCAAAAGAATTTGAAAGATTATCTGAACTTTTCAAAGCGGACGTCTACAACGCCCACAGGCCTATGCGATGAAAACTTTTATTAGTTTAGTTCTTTTTCTTTTTTTGTCCTCGTTATTCTAGGATAACGATGATGAGTATAAACGATTCGGCCACGACCGAATACAATTTTCTTAATCGTTTTATATCTACTGTTAGAATTATCTATAATACCTTTAACACGGAGCAAGCGCTGTTAAATTTATATGTAATTCGATCAGTGCGAAGTGAAACCGCTTTGATCAAGTTTTTCTGATGGAAGCAATTCTACGACATTGTTTAGAAGAAGAAATTTCGTCAGATTTGTCTTAAAAATTAATTGAATTATTTTAGTCAATTTTCGCATATATTATTGGAGGGCGACAGATTTTTTTCCCCTTTCCTCCATTTCAAATGTATTATAATTAAAGTTTTCATCTGAAGTTCAATATCAAAAATTCATTTGGTCCAAAATATCCCCCACCAATGATCCAAGGGCAATAGATAAATAATTCTATGAATAGAAATTCGTTTTTTGTGCAATTATGTCTCTTAGAAAATCTCAAATAGCGTACAAAGAAAAAGATTTCGCTTTTACAGCAATATCATCATAAGAGCGCAATCGAATCCTGTTGAAACAATTCATATGTATTTAAAATAAATTCATTACAAAGTTTAATATAACATAATCGAAATGTTCATCGTTATTACTTATGGTAGCTTGCGTATGCTCTCACGATAAGAACGTCTTAGTTGCGAGATAAAAATGACGAGATAATTTTCTTCAACTTTGCAGAGCTGCGCCCTCGGTCCGAAATGTACTAATCAGAGATTTGAAGAGTCTGCCAAATTGAAGATCGCTTCCTGGATTGTTTTTACAGGAGACGGGGCGACAGATGCGAATTTTCTCATCGTTTCCAAGACTACAATTTTTTGCACATAATCTCGCAAACAACGTTTTAACTGTTTGGTAGCTTACTGCGCTTTCATTCCAGGCCAGCTTCATCATTTCCGTACCTTAAGCTACATTTTTTCCCAATTTAATCCAGTTAAAAGCAGAATAGATTGTAGCGCAGTAAATGACATCAATCTTTTTTCACTTTTTTATATATATTGAACGACAGCTTGTAATACAACTTAGACTTATACTGAGCAAGGACCGATGTTCAAGGTACCTATAATTAAAATTTCGGAAAAATTGAACACGTCATGAACGTTAGATGAAGAAACCAATTTCCATGGAGCAGAATGCATTTTTTCCCCCAATCACTTAGCGGATGTCTTCTACACGAGTAACGCGATGGCGGTCAGAAAGAAGTGAGGACTGAAAAGGAGACAGAAGAATGGATGTCTTCCCAATCGGTGATGTTATACCTTTAGCGACTGACCGCTCACTATCAAAATAAACCCTACGTCACTTGAGTTTTGAACTCGCAAATAAAGGACTCGGCCTATGAAGAAGTAATAGCAAGCTGTGGGTGCGGTGAAGAGGAATCGCATATTAATAGCGGTATTTGTTAAAAGTCAAAAGATGTCTACACATTTCTTGAGTTCCGATACATAAAAGTACAAGCTTGTTTAATTTTTTTCAAAACTTTAAAACAAAAAAAAAAAAAATGCGGAAAACAGTAATTTTTCTTTGGCCTTACCTAGCGTACCGATTACATGCCCTACTTTGAGCAAAAAACTAAAATGGTTCTGAAAACTTGACCCACAAATCCTAGTGAGCGACGTGAAACAGGAAACTGCTGTAGCAGCCTAAGACGTTTTTACTTAACGCTAATCGGGCCACATGTTATCTCTTAAGAGAATCATGGGAATAATTAAGTCTTGTTAACCTTTATTCAACTGTCATGCAAACAATTCATATATTAGGTGCTTGCATGTATGTTGATCGTTTTTTCACTTGAAAAAGTATTTATTGGAAAAATTTTGCCTCACTTTCTACAACTTTTCCTTATCTTTCTGGCAACATGGCGATATTATGTCGAAAGAACGATATTGGTTTGGCAACGGTCCAATTATCGACCCATTTCCGCACTTCGTCAGCATTTCAAAGCAGCGTGCATGCATCGACCTGAGGACCTGAGAATCAGAAAACAGAACATCCGGAAGAACTTTCCGTTCGAGATGCAACAATTCCTGCAATGTGGCCGGGCTTTGTCATGCCTTCGGATGACGTTCCGTTTGTTAACCACTATTTCTCGCCTTTTTTGCAAAAATACGTCGTCCAATTTCTTCAACTGAGTTCACCAGACATCTGAAGTAACAATTTCATTCAGTTTTAACAATTCGTAATACACTACACATTACTAACCCCACCATATGCACAGCAAAACTTCACGTCCACGAATATTCTGCTCCGGTGTCGATGTGGATGGCTCTCCATGACTTTTTGCCCTTGGGATTGTCGTTGTAAAGCCACTTGTCATCGCCAATCGTAATACGTCACAGAAATATTTGTTTTCTGCTTGCCAAGCAATGTAACCACGAAGGGATTCGTAATGTCATTCTCAGTCAATTCCCTTCGTTTTGGATCTTACTCATCGCATGTAAATAACTAAAAAATAGTCGATTTGAGTGTGAGGTTTTTATCCAATAAGTCTTGGAATTCACTGTCTTTGAACTTTTATGGTCCTCCAGGCCGTTCTTTGTCTTTGCCATCATAATCAACACTTTTGGATCGGGATATCCTAAACCATTATCACCGTAAGCTCCTGAAGTGTTTGCGGGATTTCGGCATCAGATTTCCTCAAATCAAATACAAAAAGTAATGAAAGCGGAAAATGCAATTATGTAGAGAAAGATCGAGATCATCGAATTTAACACATCGAATGTGACACTTCGTATTATTTTATCATTTTCGCCAATAGATGTCGTTGATCAACGTACATGCAAGAAAGTACATAAAAAAGATGCATTCAAATGATGAGAAAAAATTTATTTGTTGATGCAAGTTGCGTTTTGTCGTTTGTTGTTTGTTGCTTATAGGATAGGCTTACGTTTGACCCAAAATGAGTTTTGTAGTTGAAAACGAATCCTGTGCATTGGGGAGGAAATTGTACATAAAGCACTTTTTTGGATATATGCAATACCCAGGAGGAGTTGAGATGCACCCATCTTTCATTGTATCAATAGATTCAGAATCAGCTTAAGCTTGTCCGTCCTAACTTTTTATGTTCAACATATAGACCGCAATCTTCGAGACTTCAGGTTTAGGACAAGACTGTTGAGCGGTGTTGATTATGGTTTAGAGCGGATCATTTTTTTAAGGACTTCCCATATAATGTCTTATTTTGAACGTGTTAAATAATTAAATCTAGTGTAGTGTTTAAGCATTTAATGATGAGTCTGGACCCATTATAGTATTTTCAGTATGTTCAGTATTTCAGTTTATTTTTAAAGCTGTTGCGTATGAAATATGCAGCCATTGATGAGAGCAATTTCCTTAGTTGTGTTTTTATTTTTTAAACTGGGCATAAAACCCGTAAAGTTCGCTTTAGCGAAAGAATGTCATTGTCGCTACTGTTACAAGCAAGCTTTATCTTGGAGCTGCAATTAATACCTCAAAGCAATACGATAAAAATTTAGTCGGGTAGCGGAATGGCAAAGCTCACAAAACATGCTTTGGAAAAAAAATCTTTCAAAGTTCCAATCGCAATCTGTAATATTCAACGTCTGCACTATGCAATATGTTAGCACTTCTGCAGAAAGATTTATGGTGTAGCTGTTCTGTATGATGAAAATATGGAGAAAATTGACCAGAGAAAGTTTCAAAACATATTGACTTTTTCTCCTTAGTACCATTAGGAAATAAGTAACGTTAAGGTCGATAATGAGTTCTTAGCTGAATTGGGATTACAAATTTGCTGTTGAAGATATTGATCGGCATTTTTATGTTGTGCATTGAGGTGCACTGAAAACTCTACGATACACATAGCGCCCGTAAGGGATGTAATAAAAAAGTCTCTTGTACGGATGTGCACAAAACAAAAAAAAAAAAAACGTTTCACAAAGGTAAACAATAGAAATGTTTTTTTTTTTTTTTTTAACTTTAAAACTGAATAACGTTGCCCAAATGTATAGAACACATTGCCTACGGGCAACAATCTCTCCCACGCATCATCAATTTGAATATTGTATCACTGACCTCTTCTTATGTTATGCAAAGGGTTTAAAAATGTATTTTTCTTTTCTTTTCCTTTTTTTTTTTTTTTTTTTTCTTTATTTACATCATTATAGTAACAACAGCTATGGTTGTGCCAGAAACTTCTTATTCAAGTAGTGAAGGTGAGGATGATTATTACGATGCTAATGATGATCCATTTACCAGTTTAGGCAGTTCACCGGTAACATGGTAAGTTTCAGAAACAACAACACAATATGAATGTTTTGTAAACGCCTAGCATGTTAAAAAATTCTTTCAGAGAGAGGCGGACTACCTTAACCTAAAATCAAGTTTGTTCTCTGTTTTTGAAATCCTTAATAACGTTGTCACAAAGTTTACAAAGTTACAATTGCTGTTGAAGCAGTCAGCCGGCTTTCTTGTATTTTCATACATATATATAACGCAAGACGACAACAGCTGTCACTTCAAAATTTATTATATTTTATTTGTATATTGCGGAGAGATGAAAAAGATACACATACACAGGCAAAAATGAAGAAAGAGTCGTCTGTGACCTGCGCCTTTAAAGTATACACTTCTCTCTTAATTATCATATCAGCTCTTACTTTACTCTTGATTTAATAGATTTGAATCCCAAAAAGTAGGCAACTTCTAATTCCGCAAATAGTATTTAATACAGTTGCGAACGGACCGCATTAAAATTGTCTTAAAATATTTTCCTTTTTTTTTTTGGTTTACCGCATACCAGCATTTCTAAATTATGGAGAAAATCCCTTTGAATTATTAGACAAAAAAATTGAAACATCTCTTTTTTTATTGCTTGTTTTGATTGAAAGAGTTTTATAGGAAAAAGGAATAAAAAATTATTATATAAAATAATCTATGAAATGAAAGCAAATAAAAAGAAATTCTATAGTATATTTTTAAGTGTACTTTTGTGAAAATTCAATATTGCATATTTTTATTTTCATGTGGCTTTGTTTAAAGTAAAAGTGTTGTTATAATTATTTATATTTATCTACATATATATATATATATATATATATATGTTTTTTTTTTCGCTATTGTTATTGTTATGTGATTTTTGTTGCCAAATAAGTATTGAAGTCAAGTTTACTACTAGCGCGGTTTTATATTCAATTGCTGATGTGTGCTTATATATGCTGAACTTGAACTTTATCCGTATCTTCCAAATTGCCGAAATGAAGAATGAGAAAAAAATGCTAATAAATAGCTACTGTCAGATATATTTTTAATTTTTATTTTATTCATTTATTTATTTATTTATTTATTTATGTTTTTTTTTTTTTGAGAGATAAAAAATAAGCATTTTTTCTCTCTTGTACACTACGTGTAGTAGTCATGTTGAAAAAATGGGTTAGATGTGTCAGCATTAGAAGGTAAGATATTGAATTTACTTGTCAACACAACCTAACGAGTTATAATTAATTCTGCAAAATCAGCTAAAGATGACAATATTTTAAAATTATTGCAATTTTGCAATCTCTGCAATACCGTACCGTATTTAAAGTGAAAGTCAATGTAATCCTATAAACTAGTTTTATATAGAAGATTTACTTATTAATGTGTGAATGGAAAATGTTTCTTTCCCCACAGCTTTTCTGCCTTAATGTGTTAATAGTTTCAAAGCTTCTGGGTTAATTGAAATGAATGTTTGTTGCGGATGTGCTTCTCTTCTTTTTTTTTTTTCATTTCATATGATGATATTTGAAATGGAAAGGCATCGATTTTCTTCTTTAAACGTAAAAACTTAAATCCGACCTTAGCAAATGCATTAGAAAACATGCAATATTTAACCGATATTTAAACAATGAATTGAACTATGACTTTTTGTTATTTTTCAAGAGCAATAGGGCTTATGTTTATCTTCCAAGTTGAATTAAATTGAAACTTATATGCGACCACCTTCTTCTGTACACCGTAGATAAGTTCCTTAGAACACCGCCCAAAAAAAAAAATCTAAAAAATATATATAGGAACATATTGTTACGGAAATCCCAAATCCAGTTTATTTCAAATAATTGATTTTCCCAAATAGTAAATCCCCTATAGAGAGAAAACCCAAGTGCACATTCGCGGTGCGTCGTGCAGCTGCCGGTCAAGGAAAATAATTAGCGGAAAAGCAGGTTAACGGATTAAAAATGAAGCCATGAACTTAGGTAATAGTAATATGCTTGTAACAATGTATATAAACAGAATATTTGCCGAAGGCAGGGTCAGTCAAACAAGTATGTTTCAGTTGAAAAAGGATATTAGACTTGAGAAGTCAAGAATATTGCCAAAGTAAAATGTAAATAGTCGTTCCCTTAAACAAATTGAATGTAAATGAAAGAGTCTTATAGTGAAAACGTGCAAGTGTGTTTCTCTTAAAAAGAATATACACGTTCCAGTGATACGAACCGAATCCGAGAACCCGAGAATTCGTAACAACCGGGTAAAATTGGAGATATGGTCCATACCTTTAAAATTCGTGTAAGATGAAAAAAGTTTAAATATTTTACCAAAAAAACCGTGCAAAAAAAGTTATAATGAAATCCATATTACATATCTACAAAATAAAAACCATTAATTTTCATCACAGAAAAAAATAGAAATTAGTGTACAGCGAAAATTCAGTCCATTAGGACAACATACAAAAAGTTAACTGTCAAATAGTACTAGAAAAAATATGTGAGCATAAATCTACCGACTTTTGATTATAGCACCCCCTCAATTATATTTTGTTGCTATAATACTTAAGTTACTGTGAGAAACATAGAATTAGGACGAAATGTGTTATTGTTTTGGGATTCGTACGAGAACAAAAAAAGTTCGTGTAAAAAAGTAAATTTGTTTTTATTGATGTAGCGTGTTGTTTGAAAATCGGGTAAAAAATACTTTTTAAAAAAAGAGTTGCGGTGTATTTCCAATTTTTATGCCATAAACCATCTGTGTTCAGCTCATATTAAGGTAGTATGTAATACCCAAATGGGCTTTTGCTATACCAATGGTTTCAACGAAATCTATATCCGCTCGTCTGATGTCCATCCATGTATTCTTATGTTAAGCAATTTTCGAGAGGTTTTTGGTGGGATTTGACATACTAACATGCTGAGATCCAAAGACGAATCATGTTGAATATGGATCGGATCACTTACGACCATCATCCATAAGACGGAGAATTTAAAATAAATCGTTATAGGAAACAAAATTGACAAATAGCGCACTAAATGAAAGTAGCAAATTAAGACCCATTCTCACAAAAATTTATATATATGTATATACAGCAAGCCTGTCGGTTTTAATTTTGAAAATTTTGATCCAACATAACAAATATTCTGTGATAAAATTTGGATTACTTTGGTATATTATCCTGTCTCATTCTCTTCGAAAGCAAGACTTTATATGGCAAAAAGTTTTAATATTTGCTATTTTATGATAAAAATTGGACAGGAATACTAATTTGTAATATAAATACACTATACTAAGTTCGAGCTTCATAAGTCTATTTCGTGGATCTCTTCCCTGATAAGAGTTTTCATAAAAACCAAGACTTCATAAGATAACAAGGTACAATTTTTGTTCATTTATGACGATGATAGATGAAGAGTAACATGCTCTTTGAAAGGAACATTGGGGTTGTGAAGCCTATCTCATGCAGATGCTCTTATGGAACTTTTGTGTGTCAACGAATGTTATGTTAACTGTAGTTGCGTAGAGAATTGAATAGGCGACCTCTCTTGATCACAGCTGTTCCACTTGTTTTCTCCTTCACGTTTATATTTGTATTTGCTGACCTTAAAAACCTTTTTTTCAGTCGCAATTCCCTTATGAATTCGAAACGGACCGCTGCAATTTGCCACCCGTACGGCAATTGCAATAAACATGTGTCGGTCGTTGGTTTGCATATTTTAGTTTGCTGCATTAACCTATCAAACTTTAATGGAAATATTTCATTCACTTACATATTTGTTATGATGAAGAAAAAAAAGGAATACAAAACCATGTTCGTTGGACAGAATATGTGTTCGAAGTGTCGAAAGACGCAGTCAAAGACTTAAAGCGGTGCAAAAAATATTTTACTGCAGCCGATATCAGCACCATTTACGTCTGCAATATCTGGCCAATAGTAGAGTGTAAATTGCATGTGTAGACGGAGGCTTCCAACGTTTACTTGGAGTACGTCCGACCACATACAAAGAAAGGACGAATGGGCGGACGCTGATAGGCGAGGACTGTCTCCAAAAATTCTCGATATTCTCGAGCATCAACGTAACGTACGCTGTGCTGCATTTATGTACGGGTACATTCAGAACAAGTGTTCTACTTAATAGAGATTAAGCATTGTAACAGGGCTGGCTACACAGGCATCCCCAGCGTTGTCACCCCCTTGTTTGGAGTAACCTGTATGCCGCACACCACGCTACCTTTCCTACCTTACCTAATGTCTCCATTTTAAAATCGAACATTGACAAACACTACTCCCTTTCTCCCTCCATTTCTTTTTATAACTTTTTCTAGCGACCATCGTGCCCGTACATGTAAGGAACATCAAGTTAATGGCTAGTCGTAGAAAAAATAAAAAGAGTAGATCCAAAGCCTTCCAGCGTTATTCTTACACAACTTCCTCGATTTTTATGGTATTTCAGTTAAGATGGCCGACTGTATTGTAGCGTGAAAATGCATTTCGTGATTTTGCATATTTATTCGATTTCTTTTGAGAATAAAGTCGTACGCAAGTTTTATCTTAGAGGATCTACTTACAAATATTTGTAGTAGCTTTTATTTACAATGCGTCTTCTGGTCTTGCTTGATTGCTGGACTCAATTGAGATTGCCTTTCGCCAATATTCCGCTTATATGCCCCTTTTGTATGCAAGTAGCGAACACCTGAACTTCGTAGTGACGTTTGCAGGTAAAGCGTCATGACTGTATCTTTGATTTTATCATTTTGATAATTACTATAATTTGTTTAACCCGAGGCGTAAATTCCAAGAGTAAAGTGTTCAAGCACTACCATCTGAGGATATCGACATTATTGCAAATTCTATGGTTTCAAATCTAAAGATTTGAACCCATGACCATGAAGTTGTTAGTCGCAATTGTTAACCTACTCGGCCACTTAGGCGGATACAACTTTTTGAGCTTGATTCCTATCTACTTCCAAGAGTAAAGTCTTTAAGCACTATCATCTGAGGATGTGAGCTCTATTTTTTGAATTTGTTTTCTTAAAAAACCGGCTAACTTTCGTAACAGTATTATAAAAAATCGAATCAGTTACTTGCTTACTCGATTTGAACTTAACCCTTTGCTCTACAAGCATAGCATAATCATTGAAGTAAGATTGTTGCTGCTTACAGAACTTTGACTTTGTTTGTAAGTTTGTTAATAAAAATTAACTAATTTTTTATTAACAAAAATCGAATTACTAAAGATAATTAACGAATTTGATTATGTGCATGTTCTCCTATACCTTGTTGATTTTTAAAGCATTTACCGTAACATCCGAAATTGTTGATAAAGTTTATTTCAAGGTCGAAATATAGCGCACTTAACATACATACCCACCTCATGCTGAGGACTTATTGTATATTTTATAAGACTCTTCATTAACTATAATGTCCTCCAGTACTGTTTGTAATGTTTGCTATTTTTGCTTGTGAACTTAAACGCTGATGAATAGCGCATTTCTTTTTTTTTTTTGCTTTTTACTTATATAACGGATGCGTTGCTTCATGCTTCATGTGTATGAAATGATTTTTCTAAATGAAATACAATTTATATTATCTTTGTATGAGACTAAGCGAGAGTGTAAAGATAAATATTGTAGTGCGGCGATGAGAATAATGCGAGAACGACCGAAAATAGTAATTGACCACAAAGTCATGCCGGTGATTAAAGGATGTCAGAGAGAAAACTTTGTATTTAAAACTTAACATCATTTCACTTTGCTTACATTTCATTATAAAAACAAGAGAAAAAAAACACAAAAATTTCCTTGAGATGTTTCAACATAGATATCTAAAAAACATTTCCATCCGCTTTTTATTGTATTTGCTTGCTGTCGCCCAGCAAGCTTCGTTTTTAATATACAAAGTTAGTAACGAAATGGCAAAATTGGAATTAAATTTAAGAAAAAGATGGAAAATACAAAGAAATGCCGTGCTACGGGTTAAGTTAAGTAAAGACTCAGCCATGATGATGAATCTGGCATAGGAAATTTATATAATGTAGTTGAAAAAGGTCCACGAAGGCTGCTGCAATTGCTATGAAATTTGAACCCTCGTAATTTTCAGCTTCTCTCTGATTCTTCTCTTTTTTCTGAATTCTCATTGATTTTCTGTAGTAGCTAATCAGGTGGCATGGAAGTGGCAAAATTAATTGAATTAGTATTTTTGATGGTGACGGTGAAATTTCACTTGAAATTCTTTACTCGTACGGAAAAAAAAATTGAAAAATTAGTTGGGCCACTAGACCCACCATCAAGTGCTCAACACCACATCCTATCTCCTGCATGAAATATCAAAAGTTAGATCTTATTGCCATCTAAAGCGTCATCTCTCTTGAGTACTGAACTCGGAATACAGATCAATGTAGTTAAAAATTCTTAGCGTAAATTTTTATCACTATTCGGGATCATCATAACGTACTAAAATTGGGTTTCACTTTTGAAAGCCATCTCGACCGCTTTTAATGAATTCGGCAATAGGGTGCAATTCCAAAAGTTCTTGCAAGGAATATAGAGGGATTTCAAAAATCGGTCACATATCATTCGAATATTTCAGATTCATTTCGTATGCCAAAAACACAATTTTTAATAAACCTTTGCCGGAACATATTAAAAATGGAGAATTTTTCTTTATGTAACGACTTTTGTAAAATAAGGAGCTGTATAAGAAGTGGTGATAGAAATGGTCCGATCCTATTCATTCATAATGTCTTTGGTGCCAGTGTTCAAAATTTTATCAATAAATATCTCTTGAAAATTGCTATCTATGGATTCAGTAAGAATGCACTGCCCGCCCGGGTGAACAGATCCGCGCAAATTGGTATACAGCTATGATAAATGATGAATTCAATCGCAAAAAAATCGACATGATCTCTTGGTTGAACACAAGAATATGTAGACTGACACTGGATAAACTCATCAGTAAAACTTGGAGATTAAAGCTTGTACTTGCAAGCGGCGCCAGGTATAAAAGTTAGATAAATGCAGTTTTTTTTTTTCAAGAGCTAAGAACTAAAGGATAAGTTATGGGGATTTTTACTTCGTTTGCTCATTCCAGGGATAATTTGCTAATTAAGTCTGCCATATGTGAAATTTGAAGATCAATGTTCTGAAATCAATATTAGAGAGAACACTTAAAGGCTATAGAAATCAAAACCATAATCAAAATTCAAAATTTTAAAAGCATAGGGAAAACAATTTCTATGGAGCAATGGCATAAAACAAGTGCTCCGAACTAATTAACTAACACTCATTGCATTATTTCAAATTGTTTTATACAACTTAAATTCTTTAATCACAGAATCCGCTTAGTTTTTATACCTTAAACCAACTTGCGGTACAAGTGTATATTAAGTTTGAACGGTTGTACCTGACCTGATCAGACCAAATTGAGGTAGATGGACCCAGCTTTTATTATACCGATAAGCTTATCTGTCCGTCTGTTCTCCTTGTTTTCTTGTATTCACTTTAAAGCACACAATTTTTAAGACATTTTAATGCAATTTTGATACAAGGACATGTTGTGGGCGAATGCTTACGAAAATGACTGGGATCGGACAACTTTTTCGACACCTTCACGTGACTTTCCACAACATCCATATTTTGAAAAGTCATTATATGAATAACTATCTATGTTAAGCGAAATGGTATAGGACATTTAAGAGTGTGCCGTGAAGCCTACTGTAGTGTTTTTGCCTGTTAAACTTATTATTGAAATCTATAGAAAGTTTCTCTACGTGTTTGTTGTTTTTATATACCAATTTGTGAGCGCTAATAATAACACATGTGTTGACAAAGTCGCGAAATATATGAGCTTTGGAAAATGCATTTTTTTCTCCTTTCTATTTTCGTATGAAAAACAAATGAGAAATTTTGATTCAGGCCACACGATATGCGCATCAACTTCAAGCGGTACATATGCTTTGGCTATTCGCGACATGTTTGCAAACGCGTCATGTCAACTGTCTGTTAAAAATCGCAAACTATACTTTTTCTATTTAATAGAAGGACGATTGTGGGCGGGCAAGGATTATCTTTAAATTTGATAAATGCTAATTCTAAGTGGAAATTCCAAATGTCTGCTTGTCTCGAAAATCGGGTCGGTCAGAGCATTTTTTACATTGATGTCACATGTGGCCCTAAGAAATTTTTGTAATAAATTTTAAATCAATATCAGGCCATTAGTTACAGTCTTTTGTCTCTTTTGACAAATATTGCGGCCCTTTCTATACCCTACAGTTGTTGTACACGGTGTATTAAATTAGTGTAGACGTATGTAACACCCAGAAGGGCTTAAAATAGGGTCTATCTACCTTTTATTATGCCAATTGATTTATGGTCATTTTCTAAATCGACCTAAGCCTGTCTGTCCGTCTGTGATGTCTGTGCATGTATTTTCATGTTCAAGCTGCATATCGCAATTTTTGAGATATTTTGATAAAACTTGGTAGACGGGCGTACTTTGGCGGAGGAACGCTGTTGCAAATGGCTCTCAAGAACACACTTTTTCGACCCCTTCCTACATAAGGCGCTACTCTAAAAAGTCGTTATATGAAAAAAAATTGCAATTTTCAAAATTTCTGGGCAGTAATATTACGTCATTCTAAATGAGTGTAAAATTTTGGGCAGGCTGGAAAAATTTTTTGAACTCCCTCTCATATAACCATTCCTATGAATATTAAAGCTTTACATGGTAAAAAGGTCGAGTTTCCACTATTTCATGGTGAAAATTACCTCAGTAATTTGACAAAAAAGTTTATCTTACCAAATTTGGACCACGTAGATCTATTTTTTGAATAGCACCGCATATAAGGATTCTTAAGAAGCGTAAACCCTTGTATGCCAAAAAGACCTAATTGTTAATGTTTTTGTGATCAGAATTTATAAGTGAACCCACATGAGTCTAGCCCTTCGGAAAAAGGCTTAATTTCTAATATATTATGGTAAAAATTTATTCATAGTAACGTTTTAGCAAAAAAATTAACGGTAGCGAATTTGGATAACATAGGTCAAGGGTCTCGACTAAAGGTCGAAAGAGAGAAAATTTAACCTTCTAATAGGCGGGCTTTCACGAAAATTATCGTTTCGCGTGAAAAGAATGTGTACTTTTTGTGTACCAGAACGAGCGAAAAGTTGTACTAGGCGAAATGATGGATAGGGTACGTAATATTCGGCGTTGCCCGCCTATAATGTTTTTACTTGTTCTTGGACGGTCTTAGTAAGTGAAAGTACCTAGTGTGAAAGTGACTAGCATTTGCGGTGTGTACTGTTTTGCGTACTGTTTTTTAAATTCTACTTATGGTCAGAAAAGTCACTTCCGAGTTCTATGTCACTTTTACATTTTCGGTCTTAAATTTTGGGCACACGTTGAAGTTGCAAAGGCAAACGACACGCACACAAACTGACCTCGAAATTTACATTAATCAAGTATTTGTTCACTTTATGAAGTCTCGTAACAACATCAGTTACTCGTTGTTACAAAGTGAGAAATAAATCGAGTATAACTTTATTCTTGCTTGCTTGATGCAAACATTGTTACATTTTCCATTACTTTCTACTATGCACTGCTCTGTTATGATAGAAAACAATGCCAAAAGGAAATTTAAATTTTAACATTTCAAGTAAAAGAGAAAAGAGCGCGAGACCAACGTGAGCATAGGTGTGAAGCAAAATTATTAATAACTTTAAGCCCTTCAGGCGCAATCTGTAAAAGTTTGATTATGGTCCGCAATTTCATTCCTGTTACGTATATGAAAAACAATGAGTGAAAAATATGATTGAAATTTTTTAATTTTTTATGAGGAAACTTTAACTTTTCGATCTCTAATTGGTTGAAACTACAACTAACTAATCTGGAACGGAAATTTATTTAATTAATTTATGTCAATTGTTATTATTATTTAATTTTTTTTTTTTTTCCTTTTTATTTTCGCATCATTCGTTTTCTTCAAGTGCAACGCGTGCTTTCTCTGCAGAAACGACAGCAGCGCATGATAAGACCGCAGGAGATCCAAATGAACCAAACATTGCGACAAGTTCGGATAATGAAGCTCTAGTCACAACTGGTAAGACGACAACGACGACAGCAACACCAACGTCAACGTCAACGCCTACGGCAACAGATGCGGATGATTATCAAACGGCTTCATGTGCAGTTAGTGAAACGGGTGGTTGTGGCAGTACAGCTGGCTGTGGTGGGAACAGTCAAGAGTCTGCAAATGTAAATATCCTGCAAGGAGATTTAATCGACTACGATGCCTTGTACGAGGAAGAAGAGGACACGACGCTAAGTATGGAAGCGCACGGTTCAATGTTGTCACATCTATTGTCACAGGTTAAGATTGGCATGGATTTAACTAAAGTGGTGCTACCGACATTTATACTCGAGAGACGTTCACTGTTGGAAATGTATGCCGATTATTTTGCTCATCCCGATCTATTTTTAAAGTAAGTTGTTGGCTTTGAATAACGAAAATGTTAATATGAAAAGAAAAATATTTTTGAAATCTTATTTATATATTGCTCGTAGAATTGCCGATCTAGATAATCCTAAAGATCGTATTGTTCAGGTATGTCGTTGGTATTTAAGCGCTTATCATGCGGGTCGTAAAAGCGCAGTTGCCAAAAAACCTTATAATCCTGTATTAGGAGAAATTTTTCAATGCTATTGGGATATACCAGGTAGTTGAGACAAAGACTAATCGGAAGGAAAAATAACAAAATTTATTTATTTCTTAGGTGAAATAGCTGACGAGGTAACGGTTAAAGATGGTCCTGTACCGTGGTGTAGAAGAGACCAATTAACTTTTTTAGCGGAACAGGTTTCCCATCATCCGCCCAGTTCGTAAAATTTCGTACATTTTCAAAAATAGTATTCCTTAAGAAAATCAAAATTTCTTCTTCTTTAGTTTCTGCGTTCTATGCTGAGCATTATAATAAGAAGATTACTTTTTCGGCACATGTTTGGACGAAATCGAAATTTCTCGGTCTCTCAGTGGGTGTGCATAACATTGGCGAAGGTGTTGTAACCTTGGTCGATAAAGGCGAAGAGTATATTGTTACTTTTCCGAATGGTTATGGACGGTATAGTCTCACTTTCATAAAATATTAAAATTTTATTTATATTTTAAAGCGTACTTTCGTCTTAGATCCATACTGACAATACCTTGGATAGAATTGGGTGGTTCAGTGGAAATCAAGTGTCCTCAGACGGGCTATTATGCTCACGTGGAATTTTTAACCAAACCGTTTTACGGTGGAAAACGAAATAAAGTAACCGCTGAGGTAAGTTATTTGAATAAAAAAAAAAAAAGAAGAAGACGAAGAAAAAACCTTATAATAAGACAAGAACCACCGTTAAATACTCTACATCACACATTCATATAACGGTTTTTCCAAATTAGGCCTTGTATTACGTAATAGCGATAGAAGAAGTGACCCGATCCGAAACATTGTCAATAGCGTTCGTCTTTGGGCCAAAAGATATTAACGTACCAAATTTCATCAAAATATAGAAAATTTGCAACCTATGGATTGACCACAAGAAATCAAGACGGACAGACAGATGGACAGACATCTTTAGATCGATTTAGAATGTGATTTTGACTTGATCGGTATAATAAAACGTGGGTGTATGTGAAGTACTTCTGTGTATTGCATACATCTGCACAAGCTTGTTGCACAAATGATGTAGGGTATAAAAAAAAAAAATTAATAAATTAATTTTTAATGAAAAATTATTTGTATTATAGATTTATTCACCCAACGAAAAGAAGCCTTTTGTATCTATTGCCGGCGAGTGGAGTGGTCTAATGGAGGCGAAATGGCACGATAAAAATGTAATGTATACAAAAATCTATTCGTTTTTTTTTTTTTTTAATTATTTTGAATTTGCCTGCTACTTACTTGTGCCTGCGCTGATGTCCAGTAGTTTAATGCTTTATGTAATAATTGTAAAATAATGGATTTTGAATCTTAAAAGATTTTATTTTAAAGAGCAAACTATTCCTAACTCCACCCACCATGACATGCCAAACATATGTTTTATGAAACATTCTTGAGATTAAATTTAAATGACAACAAAATAGGTCTTAATCCTAATAGAAAAGTATGAGTAGATGATAGAGATATTGTGATAAGAGCTAACAGGTTTCGTGCGGAGTAAGTTTAAGTCGCGTTCAGATTTTGTGTTTTCTGCCCGAGTCGCAAGTTAAAGCTCTCCCAACAAAAACTGAATAATTAACTTATTCCTGACAGCAGAAGACAAATTTTTCTGGATACAAAGAGACTCGTATTAAGCCGCAAACTTCTCCAAGAATCGTATTTTGTCACGATCTGTTCCATTATTAATAAAAGTTTATCGATTTTTACAGGTTTTGAATGAAAGAGATTTAGAGAGCTAAATTTCGGTCATACGGTCAGAGGGCGGTTAAATGGATTAAGTCTTTTTTTTACAGAGCTGGCAAATGCCTTTAATATTGTTATGAAATGGTGCTGATGCTATATATTTTAATTTTCGATTGACTCTTTCATGGAAAACTGAATTCATATTTAAAATCAATGTTCAACAATAATGGAGCTTCATGCGTAATCATCCAGAAATCTTAACAAAAAAGTAGTGAACATAAAATTAAAGAAAAAGATAAAGAGCAATAAAAAGGAAATTGACAGAATAGATCGCAGATATGACATTAAAAGATTGAAAGACAAATAAAAATAATCAATTATTGTAAATTAAAAAACAAAAAAAAAGGAAAAGCTTGTAAAGTGCTGACAGCGTTTAAACGATACTTTTAATGCATATGAAGCTTGCAGTTCTGGTAGGAGTAAAAAATGTAGGTTTTTCGATTGTATATATATTTTCCTTTTAATTTTAGGAGAAATTATATATTATTCGTTTTGCGCATATATGCATAAATATATATGTAAACCTGCACTTAAGCCTTATCACTTTTCTTTTTCATAACTGTGCTATGATTATTTCACGCAGAGAAGGAATATTTTACACCCACTATCGAAAGAAAGTAATTAATTGCCCAGTATATGCTCCAGTTTACACCATTGCAAGCTACTCTAAGTATATATATTTTTGATTAACGTAAGATTTTAAATCGACTTTAATCGATTTCTGCCACCTATCGTTAAAGACTTATGGGTCCTAGTAGTTCCAAATTTATAACTTGATTCATTGGTTTGCGTAAATTTGTACGTAGGTACGTATATGTAACATGGGCTGCAGATTCCTTAATCTATTTGGTGAAGCTTGTCCAACCGTCAGTCCATCTGTTGTACGGTGTTACTTCAAGGGACTTTATCACCTTGTGATTTTGTTTTTATTTACTTATTTATATTTTGGCAATTTTTAAAAAAAAAAGGAAGAATTTTTACATCGCTCCTGTCTTTACATTCCACAAGGGCATATTAAGTCTGTGCTGAGATGTGCAAAAGCCGCAAAGACTTGAAATAGATTCATTTTTTATTATAACGGTCGATTCAAAATCACTTTCTTCATTGATTTAAGCTTCTGCGTCCGTCTATCGCTCTTGTAGGCTTATGTAGACGCATCTTTTACTATACCGGTCTATGCAGAATTACTTTCTTCATTGTTCTAAGCTTCTCTGTCTGTCTGTCGCTTTTGTAGTCTTGCGTAGACGCATCTTTTGCTTTGCTAATCGATTCAGGACCACTTTCTTCATCGACCTAAGGTTGTCTGTCCATCTGTCCCTCTTGTCTCCCTCTTAATCCTTTTAATCTTGTAGGAAGAGCACAATTCGTAGGTAAATCAATTCAGATTCTCACGTTAATCAACATTACATATATATCCTTTTATTGCTTTCTCTCGAATAATTTTTTTGAGAGAGAGTTTTCAGCGATAATGGGATTAAGGTAAACCTTCGAACTCTGTGCGTATGCTTGAAACTTTTAATAAATATATTTGCACATATATATGCATATATATATATATATATATATACATATCTGATTATTGTGGCATCGCTTTAAATAATTATTATTCATTTTGATACGTATTAATTGCATTTTAATAATCTTCAGTTCATTTTCACCCTTTTCCATATCATTTTTTTCTACCGAAAATACTTTATTAAATTTCTCCACTAATATATGATTTCTTTTTCTTTTCTCTTTGTTGTTTGTATATTTGTTCTGATAATTCTTCTCCATTTCTTTTATATTGTAATTTATTCCTTAATTGTAAAAAAGCTAAATATTCCTTACAAGGACACTAAAATATCCTGTTTTCACTTTCCCTTTTCCCTTATGAAACCAATGCCTTACAAAGCTAATTAACAATCCTGTCGATTATTTGTACTTCTCTCTTAAATATTTTGGAGCAATTTCTATCCATACTTTGTTTATCTAGAAAATTAAATTTTGTAATTATTATGTGTGAAATGTGTTTATTACATTAAAAAAAAAAAAACAAAAAAACAAAACAAAGACACCAAAAAAAAAAAAATGGAAACCCTTAATAACATCCAAGTGTTGCTTTTCTTTAGAGGACAAAAACATTTTATATCATTTTTTTTATTTTATTATTTTTTCATGATTTATTTGATTTTTAATTTTCTAGAAAACTGAAGTATTCGTTGATGTAAATCGTATACCAATATTTAAGAAACAAGTTCGACCAATCGTTGAACAAGAAGATTACGAATCCAGACGTGTGTGGAAGGAGGTGACAGCTGGACTCAAGTAAAAATTAATATAGATATATATATATTTTTAGTTTTTTATATATGAAAATATGTATATGATACTTTATAGATTTATATTTATAAACTACCTCACTTGTGAAATAACTATTTGCACATTTAGATAGTCTACCGCACGTAACGGTCGGCAAGAAAAAACGCGTTCATTAACAAGCCGATAGTACAACAACTAAGATCGCTTCTGGTCTCAATACCAACAAAAATGGGCTTGCTCATCAACTACGACAATAAAAACTGATATAGTTTTATTAAGAACAAAAGTCTGGGTATACAGGATTTGTTCCTGCAAATAAAAATTTTTTTTTTTACGTTTCATATACTAAGTCCCAATGTAGTGGACCATCGCCCTCCCTTAAATACCCTACACCACTTTGCTTCATACAGTCATTCATGTAAATTTCATATAAATTTTAAAAAATATGGGCTTATATTGGAAGTGGTCGAAACAGTGATCCGATTCGAACCATTTTCAATAGTCTGTGTCCTCGGACTAAAATATGTCAAACCTCAAAAATTGCTTGTAGGTTGAACACAAGATTACGAGGTGATCGAGTAGACGGAAAAATCAAGATCGATCCCAAAAGTAATTTTTGCGAACTTTAATACTTTTCTAAACTAGTTTCGAAACCTTAAAAGACTACGTATTAAATACCAAAAATCCGAATATAAATATACATTCTTCTTTCAGGGATCGAATAAGCAAAGACAAATATTGGTTATCCTTAGGCGAGAATGCACAACGCAAGCTTTTCTTCATTGTATAAAAATCTCTACGACTTCAGTCATCCTGTTAGGATGAAGTAACACGTTCTGAAAGTTTTCAAAATTTTATGCAAAGATAAGAAAGAAAGATTCATATATGAAATTGGGAAACGGATTTTATTCAATTGCTCGAGATTTCTATGATATCTGTAGAATTTTGCATACGCTGCTAAAAAGCTGTAAATTTTAATATATTTCGGTTATCAATCTGAATATAGAATTTGCAGAAAAATCGGTTTCAAACCTTGATTGATTAATCGAAATAGTTTCCTTATTTCCTTCCGGTTTGTTTATTTTTTTTTTAAACAATCGTTATAAGAAACAAGTTACTTCCTTATATTTGTGTAGGAACTCCCCTTATGCATTTAATGCTTCTTGCTTGAAAAAAAGTGTAGTTATAATAATCAATCTGGAACGATTTGCACACTACAAGGGGATATTTACAAACTTTGTAAACCAATCTAATTATAAATTTATATATCACAAGTGTGTTGTAGTTTAGTAGTAAGAACGATGATAAAGTTCGTTTAGAACGTGCTTAAGTATTTCTTTTATGTTTTATTTTATTTTATTTTATTATTATTTTGTTATTATTATTAATTTCTTCAAGATACAATGACATTGAAAAGGCAACAAATGCCAAGTGTCAGGTGGAACAAGTACAGCGTGAACAAGCAAAGTTCAGAAAGGAAGGTGAATTGTTGTGGGAGCAAAAGGTACGAAAGATGAAAAGTATTTCTTATATAAAATATATTTTCACTTGTTTTTTTTTTTATTTTTTTGTTTCTCTATTTTCATTATTTAGTATTTTAAACCAGTGGGTGATAATTGGATCTATACGCGTCCTTTGAGTCAACGTATTTATTTGCAAGAAAAAGAAGGCAAAAGATAATAAAGAAAGTCTTCGGCAACAACATCCGCTTCCTCTTCTATGTAGAAAGTCAAATAAACCGAAAAAAAAGTTCGGTAATTTCCGGCTTCCCTTTTCTCTTCATATCAGAGGTAATAAAACACCAAAACAACAACAGCAACAATAGAAACAAAAAAAGAGGAGAAATGTTAGAAAAAAAAAAAACAATGTCGTAGTAAGCAATCTCCTGTAAATCATTCAAAGGAAAAATATTTTGTTTTGAAATGTATACATATATATATATATATAAATATAAATATATGTATGTGAATAAGCATATATTGTAAGAAAAATATTAAACGAAAATAACAAAAATAACAACAAGAACAACAAAATAAACAATAAGCAACATTAGTATAATAAATAAAATACATCAGTCAGACATAAGAAAAGTAATTAAAATACAAATTAAATAAATAAAAAAAAAAAAGATTCTATACATATAATACAAAAATTGTAAAACATTTTCTATTAAATTATCACAAAATGAACTCTTAAGCTATAATTATATACCATATGTATATTAAATAAATTCTAAAAATAAAAAGTTTCAAAATAAAATAAAAAAAGTATAACAAATATAATATTACTACAATCAATCTTATATATATAAAAAAAAAAAAAAAACAAATAAACGAACATGAAAATATTTTCTTATATATACAAAAACAAAAAATTTAGTAAAAACTGTGAATATCTATTAAATCTTTTTGCACTTTTTCTAAACTTAGACAAAACTGATTTCATTACTTTATTTATTTACAAAAAAAAAAAAGAAAGAAAAAAGAAATAAGAAAAAATAATAATAATAATAATAACAACAATAGTAATAAAAACACTTAAACAGACTTTAAAAGCTAACAGAACAAAGGCTAACAAAACATAAGCAATGTTTTACTTTTTTAAATATAAACTGGGGGGAAAAAAAAAACATTTTCTATCCTCAGAAATTCTTACAAAAAATAGCAAACAACAGATAAGAGAATTTATTTAAAAACTAATTTACCCGGATTCGAAATTCATTTAATTTAAAACTAATATTATTTTCTTAATTTTCGAAAATGTGTAAAAATATTTGTCAAGTAAGTTGTATCTATCCAAACTATCGCTATCTCTTAGTACGATTGAATGAAACGGTGGTGCTTCAATGGCATTATTATGATCGAAGATTGTTTTCTCTTTTTCAAAAGTTTGCGCAAAATACAAAACATAATTAAAATAAAAAAAAAAAAAAAATTACTTCAAAGCTTTACATTAATTTATTTTATATAAGTATATTTAAATGTCTTGCCCAATGTCCCCAAGTTTACATGTCAAGCCAAGACAACTTGCAATCTCTTACTAGATTTACTTATATAAAAAGCATTGTCTTCCTCATATTATATACGTTTTATTATCTGAATGGCAAACTCAGACTGCTTAAGTTCACTTGGCTCAGATAATTAAGAAAGAAAGCTGATTCAAAATTTAGCTTATATCGTTTATGATATCTTGCTTCAAAAACCGACAGCATAAGATGAATTAAAATAGTTTTTATTTAAAATGAATTTCAATGAGAGAAACCAAAGGAAATAAATTCGCCTTAGGGAATGCAATTGTAGAGAAAGAAAAAAAATAATTAGAAGGGCATCGAATTTCTGAAGCAGTTATATAATTATTCCAATCGAGGGCTTGTCAATGCTTTTTCATTTCGATATTGCAATCGGATCTTTAGAATTTTATTAATGGCCATCAAATATCTCAATTTTCAAAACTGAAAACTTTTCAATAATAGACGAAGAATAAACGAAGCTCTCAGGAATCTTTCTTTGATGGCTGTGGTGTGCTTATATAAAAGAAGTCTTTGTAAAAAAACAAGTTGTCATAGTGTTCCTAAGGCAGGTTAACAATTTCTATCTTATATGTGTTTTGAGACAATTTTCTAGTCAGTCCATGGCTGTGGCCATTCGCTTTAAAAATTTCTCACTCTATTACAAAGATATTTAACATCATATTTAGCTTTCTAGACATGGCTTAAAGTGCGAAAAGCACGTATATTTTGGATGAGGTTGCTATACGAAGGCGATGTAGTCATGTTCGCGTCTTTTCTTAGTTGTCGTAAGTTAAAGGAACTGATGATGTTCGATAAATTTAGCCTCCCTTCAACCAAGCGCGCTAAAATCTAGTGAAAAGCATAGACATTTTCGACTAGCTTGCTATTCCAAGTCGATGTATTGGTCTTCGTTTCTTTTCTCAGATATCACGAAGCAAAGCAGCTGATGTCTGATATGTACGCTCTTAATTGTTTTCTGCGGATACAATTTGAAAGTACAGAGTCCAAAATAAATGGACGTCAAGAATTGACGAACAAAATTTCGTAAAAATCAGTTAGATATTTCTTACGATTATATCGATTAATGCCTTACAAAAATTGTAAATGTACGAATAACTTTTTTTTTAACCTATACTTTATAAATATATAAATAAAAATAACCTCTATTTTGTTAGGGTTTGTGAGATTACCCTTTAAGTCGCCCACTTGCCATTGCGTGAATTATATTTGATAAATAAATATTACTAAGAACTCAAAGATATCTCAAGTTTGCTTAAGGAAAAGGAAGCGGGCGTCAAAAGGCGTGGGCTTAAAATATAAATCAATTATATGACAATCGATTTAAATTCATTTTAATTGTTAATTTTTGGGAAAAGAAAAAGGAAAACGCGGAAGCGGTTGTCAAGAGGTTGTCTAATAGTAAAGAGAATAAGAGAAAATACATAAAATGAAAAGCGGGCACTTGATGCAAAACTTTGACCTTAAATGACTTTATATAACTTTTTTAGAATCCTCTAAGGTAGAAAGATAACAAAATATTTTGCAGGATAAATTTTACCCCAGCACGGAATGATCTTTTAGAAGCATTTCAATTTTCCTATCTTACCATTAGCTTATCATTATAAAAACTGATAATGAAACTTTCGTTCAATAATTCAATTCATTAATGGCTAGGTTGCTTTTCATATAAGTCGCTTATAGCCCTTTGCCTGAATAATATTTAATTTTTCAAGCAGTTCTCTAAGATATATAGGGAAGTGTCGCCCTTGGTCAAATCAATCGTAACTGAACAATGAGATCTTTTGGCATATTTTTAATGCTCATCATTTCCAACCAACATATAAAAATTGGAAAGAATTTTATTAATTGTGGATAAGTATGTTGATCGTGGATTGATTTTTTAGACGATTTCAGAATATATTTGCATCAAGCTTTAGTGAAATCTAAGGGCATTTTTAACTATCATCCATCACACATGAATTCTGTCAATTCGAGACATATGTAATAAGAAAACTTTCTTACATTCACTTCTTGCTGATGGTCAGCTAAAATCGATATAATCGAGAAATTCGAATACGATCACTACACTTGAAGGGCCTGAGGCAAAGATGTATTCTAATGCTTACTAATTGTCTACGTTGCTGCAATGAAGAGAAACTGCACAAATAATTTTAACTAAATAAAATAAATAACAACAACAAACAATAAATGAATAAAAATATTAATTATTTTTATCACTTAATTTCTATTTATAATGATTTGAAAGCCTCAGATGTTGAAATATTAAAACAGTTTTCTATTGAAAAATCTTAGCTTTACTTTCTAAGCAAACGAACCCACTCTACTATTACTCTCTATTATATCTTTATAAAAAAACAAATAAAAAAAAAAACAAAAAGTGCTTTAAAAATTAAACTTAAAGATTATTTGCGATTACAATACAAATGCCCACCACATAGATAGATTTTATTGTTCATTTTGTGTACCCAACGCAACAAAGTATATTAGATTTGTCATCGGAATGTTCTTGAAGGAACGCCAAGCTTATGTGTAACTCTCATCACCGTGAGATGTTTCTAATCCTGTCTGACTGTCTTCGTCTGCTTATTAAAGTCACGGTCACTTCAAAAAGAAAAAAAAAGATACAAGAGAAAGCAATGAATCGTAACATACAGGAAAATGTCATTTATCAATAAGTAAGCAAATTATATTCGATCCTGATCCAATGTTTTGTACCCATCACCGTTACCGTAAATGAAAATAAAAAAAGTAAGAGAACTAAATTTTCTTGTTTGACAATATGGAGTGGGCAGGTCTAATTTTTTCCATTTTCAAAATAAAAGCTTTTGTCGCCCAGGCATGTGGGCGTTGCAGGTGTGTCTTTTGAAAACTTTAGGTCACTTCCAAATTCCTTTTTCAAATTTGTAGACGATGTCTGCGTTTTCACTAATGGAAGGATGTTTACCACAGATACTGCACAGTTGCGCAGGCGGGCAGACGGACAGATGAGTGAACGGACATTCTTAGATGCATTCCAAATTTGAAACTGGCCAAGAATTTATTATATTGGGTAGGCATGGTCAATTTTTTACCATTTTTATGCAAGATTTACAGCATCGCCTATAGAATATGCGTTTTGTACATTCGTCTGCTTTAGTTTATCAGTAGTAACTACAGAACGAATTTTTTTTGTTCTTTTGAAAAAGAGAGGTGTTCTCAGTCTACATGGTGCTGTGGGCATGTCCTACGACCGA